CCGAACGAGTCGGGCCTTTGAAGTTCACAGACGGAACCTGCAGAAGCCATGGTGCTGTTGGATGTCCTCCTGTAGCGGCACGGCACCGCGTGGGGCGCCACGAAAAAGAACCGTGTGGCAGAACCGCCGGTCCAGTCATGAAACGTGATGCTGTGAAGTAGTTTAATGATTATTTATGTAAGATAGTGTCCTCTCATTCATTGATCGTGTGCGCGAGACCATACAGACCTTTTCGACCCTTGACCTTCCAACTTGGGGCCTGCGCCCAAATCTCCCCTCTCTGATACTAAAAACTTGGGATCCAAACAATGAGCAGCCTACTCAGCGAACCATTTCTGGGGAACTCTATACAAGAACGCAGAATATGCCCAGAATTAGAACCCAGAGTGAACTCAAAGTGGGCCATGGATGAGTGGTACTCCAAACAGGTCACTCTTTTAGGTCTACCAGCACCGGCTTGCTCACAGGTTGGCCCGCTCGCTCGGTCGATCTCGATGATTTCTGGATGCGATGCTTAGGACGATTCTCTCCGGATGCTCTGGAGAAATCCCGAGCTTCAGCAGTACTTCGGCGGCCTCGTTATGTTGGGCTGTCTTTGGGTAAGAGGCTGTAGGCGGAGATACATCAACTGGTCTGTTTGTTGCTTGCATTGAAAAGAGGACAAGGAAAACACACAAGAACAAGCAAAAACAACTGTACAGTAATAGGTTTTCTTTTGAATGTCCACTGTGATGGGAAGTCTTCACAGAAAGCCTTCTGCGGATCAATTTCGGTTCGATCTGGGCGGAGAGGCTCCACCCCTACAGGGAGCCCAAAACAGTGATCGGTAGGTGTTGGAAGCAAGTTGGTGACTAGAGAGAAAGCTGTAAAATGAAATTACTTTACTTCGAGTGATCCCCACCGTGCCGTTTCAATCATTTGTCTCCATGCCATGGTGAGGAGCACGTTTCCATGGTCGTGAGTTTTGTGGCTATCGGAGATCGTTTTTGCGTGTGGGTCCTTGGGCTTGGGAATGTTATTTTAATAGTATTAGGGAGTTCGCGTTGGGGTGTCGACAGGGTCTCCAGTTGGCATCCAAAAGTGCTACCCTGTGACCACCTGGCACGCCGAACGCCCCACACACACAGGTGCTTATATTGTGGTTGTGTGCTAGTGGCTGTGTGCTTGTGGTTTTGTGCTTGTGGTTGTGTTTGCAGTTCTGTGCTTGTGTTTGTGGTTTTGCTTGTGGTTGTGTGTTTGTGGTTGTGGTCGTGCTTGTGCTTGAGGTTGTGTGCTTGTGATTGTGTGTTTCTGGCTGTGTGCGTGTGATTGTGTGATTCTGGTTGTGTGTTCGTGGCTGTGTTTGTGGCTGTGTGCTTGTGGCTGTGTTTGTGGCTGTGTGCTTGTGATTGTGTTTGTGGTTGTGTGTCTGTGTGATTGTGTGATTGTGGTGTTTGTGGTCGTGTCTGGCTGTGACTGTGTGTTTGTGATTGTGTGCTTCTGGCTGTGCTTGTGGCTGTCCGCTTGCGATTGTGTGTTTGTGATTATATGTTTGTGGTCGTGTTTGTGATTGTGTGTTTGTGGTTGCCTTGGCAGGGAACACTGCCAGCCGGAGCTCGCGGTTGAGGTCCGGCGGGGAACACTGCCAAGTGGAACTCGCGGTTGAGGAGGAAGCGGAGGAGGACGAGGAGGACGACGAGGATGGCAGCTGACATAAAATCTAACAACCCTCACCTGACAGGTGGGGAATAACATCTGAGGCATGCGGATGCGATGCCTTTTTGAACGTTCTGGCTTGCAGTCAGGGACTGCAAGGCTACAGGATGCAACATTAACTAAGCATCATAGAGTTGGCTTCAACAAAGATTACAATTATACCAGGAATGAAGCAAGAAATGAAGGCAAGAAGAAAGGCCTCAAGACCTAGCGAACAAACAGAACAATTGATGCAATTAGTTATGTAATTATAACACTGAAAACAATCACCCTCGACACGACACCATCGACCCTGTTGGAGGCTCTCAGACTCTCCTGGGCACTGGCACTGGGGCATCCTCCATAAAGGAGAAGTCAACCTGACGGTCGTGACCCGGATCTGCTTGGGTGACATTCAGGTCGCCAGTCGATGAAGCCAAGTTCACACCTGAAGCCAATGTCTTTTCATATTTTTATGGGTTTTCCGTGGTCAACCATGTCTTTCTTCTTTCCATTCATGTCAAAGGGACTGGCAAGGATTTGTATTTCTACGACACATACGTGCTTATATGTTGATATACATACAAATAGATCCATTATATTACATAAGCATACTGTGTATATAGAATTATACATTTATGTCCAAGCAGTTGGTATATGAGATTTCAAATTATTTCGACATCTCCGTCTCTGCCCGCCCCGCCCACCAGTCTCGCCTTATTACCCTTGCTGCAGCGGCGACCCAACAGCGCTGGAGAAGACTCTTGGCGCCGCATGGAGGGCGAGTAAGGCGAAGGGCAGTCCATGTCCTTCGTCGGAGTGAGACGTTGGGTATGTTCAGATCAGGTGTGGCCACGGTGGGGCTGAGGTATTCCAAACTTTGGACATGCCAGGAATCTTAGAGATCTTCAGAATGCTCTTGGCATGATACATAATACTAGCTGCATCAGTCAATATACATACATATATAGTGTCCTTGAGACAGTTTCCTCTAAGCCTAACCAGTCAAATCTGTTTTCTCCACCAACTCACCCACCCAGCCACTCACTTACTGATGAGCTATCCATTCGGTGTCAAGTTTTGGCATTTGGGGTGTCCTCTTCATCCTCATCAATGGCCACGGTGTAGAAGGTGTTCTTCACCACGAGATCAAAGCCGGAGAGGTTCCTCCCCACTGTGTGTGTGTGTCTGTCGAAGGAATGGAACCGGCTAGGACACAAATTGGTCGAGATTGACTGGTGGTTTGCATATCTTTGGGTGTCTCTCTAATTAGGAAACAATGAGGTTGTATGATTGATACCATCAAGGTATTCATGTACCATGGTTTTTAGTTCGTGTATATTGTACATCCAAGCTTGCATGGATTTTGCACGGGTTGAAACCCAGTAGGTCGACCGTCAATTGCCCGCGAACGTGAACAGATTTTCTCGGTTTGTCCAGTACCAGTGGTTGGAGTTTAGGACACGAAAGGAAGGATTCTAATCCAGCAGTATTTGTTATTAGTTATTACTACACCAGTCCTGGTTCTTCCAATTGACCTTTTGATCCCCTGGTTTGAGGTCACTTAGGCCACTTAGGGACTCCAAAAAAGGTAACTTTGACGAAGCTGGGTATTCTGGTCTATTCTTACTGGTTGTTGGGTTTTAAATATCAGGAACTAGACCATGGCACCCTTGGAACATGTGCTCTTGGATGCCCTCTCGATAATTAATTCTCTTTATGAAACAACACATTTAATTGCAACGGCAACGAGTATGATACGTATGATAGACCAGCACCCGCCGTTACAAGGTCTCCTCCTTGGAGGAGACGGAAAGAACCCTGTTGGAGGCTAGTGATCTCTATTGGTGATATGGTTGGAGGGTGCTTGTATGTGTTGTTGTTCGTTTCATGGCTTTATGATGCCTCAATTCATTCACTTAAACCAACTTCACAACTGTCACTCTTGACACGGATGGTCGTGTTGTCCATATCTCAGGACTCAGGGCTGATCGATTTCACCATGTTTCTTTTCTCGCACCACCCGCAAACCAAATCCTTCCGGCCATCCATCGGGCTATTCTCACATGTTGAATGCTGGATTCTCCTCTTGCAGTCTATGCAACTGGTTATGACCCGTAGAAGACAATGTTTGGGAGCCCAACACGTTGAAACGTACTCTTTTAAGAGCAACACGTGTTAAAATCGTTGAAACGTCAACGCCTACCCAGTGCCATTCTGGGGAGTTCTCCCCTGGTGTTTCACAGATCGTCCACACTCCTCGCCATGGAATCGGTGAAGTGCGACACGGCGAAACTGCGCAGCCACTGAGCCACTTCGGCAGGGAACACTGAGCCAAAGGCTGCAAGATCCGTATGATGCAAGGCATAGCATGTGGACATCAAGGACCCCAATGTTGTGTGTTGCCCATGCTAAGGCTCTTTGGTAGGCCGGATCAGCACAAGGATCCTGCAAACCTTCTTCCAACTGGGTGCAAACTGAATGATTGTAAGCCTAAAGTTAACGGGCAAGTTTCAAACAAACAAAGTTCAAGTAACCAACAAGCACCGATTCTCGATACCTTCCTCTCAGATCAGTCTTTGACCGAAGACATTACAAACCCGGATCTCCCCCATGTGAATTTTTATATTTAATCATAGATTTCTTCAAAGACATGATTCAAGTTTCGAGCTCAAAACACATTTTGAGCAGCCTCATGCCTCCATCTCATCCACCATGCCTAACCGTCATCCTGACCTGGCCTGAAATTGGAAGGATCCGACCATCTCATCCTCCATGTCGATCCACTCGATGTGAACCATCCAGGAACCCGCCCCGTTTCCCTGTGAGAACCACTGAACCACTGAACATCCCAAAAACATGAAGCGGAAGTGGCTGGGGATCCTCCGAAACCAGCGTATTAACCACATAGTATCAACCCAAACAAACCTACCATGGACCAAGGACAACCCCAAGAGACCGAAGAAGAGCATCTAAATGCATCTAATATAGAAAGACCTTATTGACTTAAATCCCATTCTTTACCTAGAGACCCATAGATCCCTATCTACACCCCAATAGAGACCCAATACTAGACCTGATATACCGACCAAGTACGTCCCATCCCCCGGGACAAGGTGGAGGCCCTCGCTATTAGGTTGGAGGCCATTGCTACTAGGAACAAGACTAGTAGTAAGAAGCTAGCATGGGGCTCCTGGTATCGCTACTAGGAGCAAGGACGCTACTAGGGGCTCCTGGCCTTACTACTAGGAACAAGGACGCTACTAGTAGCAAGAAGCTAGTAGGGCAGGGTGGTGGTGGCACATGGCTCCCGTCCATCCACCCGCCTCAAGGGTCGCCTTTGCTCCTCGGCTTTCAGGATCCACCGACGCGTGGCATACCAACCTGGGGAAGCAGCGATGTTCTCCACATGAGGCGGAAGTGTTGCAAAGGCAGAAAGATGGTGGAAACGCAATTAGGGTGTGGAAACGGAAACGGGTATGTGTTTGGGGGATTGTAGGATATTGTATAGGTGTTCAAAAGTTTCATGAACACATCGACTCATCGATCTTTCAAACCCAACATGAGTGTTAAACAGCCACTGACGACTGACAACTGTTGGTTTTGTCTATGCGGCAACCAGGTGCTGGAGACGTCTTGCGTGGTCCTGAGGTCGCTGGTTGTGCTGCACTCATTCACCACTTCCAGCAGTGCAGCCCTTAGAGAAGTAGTTCTCAACTGTGTCGCCCACCACTCCCAGGTTCTTGGAGCAGCATCTCTGCTTCAGTATCGAGCATGTGAGGTGACAGGCAAACACGGCAAACGATGGACAGGATGCCATGGCTGTTGGGTGTTCGACTGGCCGAGCCCTGTCAGCTTCCCCACCAGGCATCCGACTGGATCCCCTGCCATCAGCTTCCTCACCTTCAACCTGCTCGAAACGACCGACGTCTCAGTCACAGGGCATGGTCTTCCCAAGGGTCTATGCACAACACTTCCATGTTGGATAGGGATGTACAGGGCTTAGGGCACACTTATGGGTCCCAGCAAAATGCCTGTAAGTCAGCGCCACTTGAACTCATTGCGGATGGGAGGAAGTTCGCCCATATCAATTCGGACGAGTGATTCTACAATTGGCCCGTAGCAAAAACTCACCAACCAGGTCCTTTGAAAAGAGTTGGGTCGTGTCGAAGGATGGATGGGTCATCCAACCAAACTCCCAACATGCGAAAGGTCTGTCAATCCGATGCTCAGATCACCTGGTCACTTGGTCGCACTGCTCCTGTGGCCGCCCGAGGGAGCGCCGTTTCGGCGCCGCCTCCATCTCGATGTCCTCCGATCGCGCCCCACGCTCCTACGGCCGGACAGTCCGATCCGCGAAGACAGCCCGTGCTGAAGCACGACGTGTCGTTCGTCAAGTGCATGACGCGAGTGATTGGCGCCCCCCTTGACATCAAACATGGCGTCCAAACAACCACTTGTTTGATGGTATTGCTGTATGGGTAAACAACAAAGCTGTTGTCCACAACATGAGTGTGCGCTCACTCTGGTTGCTAAAGCAGCGCCACTGAGTTTTTTCTTCACCACTTCAGCGACTTTTGAGATCAAACCACGTTGATTTGATCATATTTGATTCCTCTTTTGACAACCTGCTGACATCGAAGTCCGCTTACAACAGCGACACGGATACAAAGCTTGAGCACCCGGCTTAGACCCGGTTTAGCGTGTATCGTTTTTTGTTTGATGGATTCTCTGATGGTATGCTTTTCCCTCCTTGTTCTTCGCTAGTGCATTTTCGGATAAATGTGTGTGTTTGCAAAGGAAACACCCTCTCGTCCACCTGAGGAATTCAAGAGGACACTGCAAAAAAGAAAGCCGTTTCGTTTTCCTTGTGTTCTGTTTTGATCTCTATTTGATTCCTTTTTGTTTCCTGTTAGAAAGGGGCCAACTCCAACAACCCCACATCGACATCGTGCTGTAACGACCAAAGGCAGCTAAGTGACTATTAGGTGACTTGGCAAGCTATTCATTGGAATCTATATGGGGCTGTTTCCAATATTTCTATATATGATATCCATTGACTTCGAACTCAAGAACTCACAAACTCAGCTCTATTTGCTAAGATTCTCAACTTCTCACCCCTTTCTCACCCGTCGTTCTCCACTATATAAATATAGGCCGAGCAGTTTCTGATTCATGACGTGGAGTGTTGGCACATGTCAGCACTCCAACCGCTCCTGTTTCATGGCTTCCTGCAGCAAGATGGTGATCAAATCCTGTGACGGAAGACGATGCGAGAGAAGAGTCGTTAGAAGAACACATTGCAAGCTGGATCCAGCCTTCCCAGATCTTGCCAGGTAGGAACAAACTAGGAAGGTCACCCCCTTTGAGCTGCAATACATTGCAATACTATTCGTAATTATATAGTAATTGTAATATATAAAGAAACTTCCAGGAGAACAGTGGAACTCAAAGCTATCCGGTGGCATGTGGCTTCAACTCCATCTGCTGCTTCCAACCAGGTGATGGGCGATCAATGACGAGACTGTGTGTGTGACCATATGTCATCGCTTCTACCTCGCAAGTTTGAAAGAGACCAGGTTCTGCCCGCCCACGCGTTTTTCTGCCATCGCAAAAATCACCTTCTTTGTGGCTGAAAAATCTCCTTCTTTGTTGTTTGCCTTGTGAAGACGTTGCCCGCCATGCGATTTGCCATCAGGAAACTGCAGTCGATCGCATCTGTCCGTGTCCATCCCTGTCAATCCGTCCACGCTGGTGGCACCTTGTCTTCTTCCAAGGCCCCCTTCTCCAATCCAATCACCTGCCATCACGCCGCCAGTATCCGTCTTCGATGCTCCGAAGAATGAATCGACACCTCGTCCCGTGCGGATTTCGCGAAGAACATCGACGTTTCAGGTCTGTTGTTCGGTGGTGAACGAAATCCAACAGGCCACTGAAAAAAGGGTGCTGCTTTACAGATTGAGTGGAACTCCTGACCTTTGGCAGGTTCAAGACTTTTCCCTGATTTCACCCAGCAGGTCTCAGAAAGGGAACAAATAAACATTACCTATTGTGGCCGTATACATACCACAGGCACTACTACTTGGTTCCTAAGAATATGTAAAATACATATAAATATATTATATATCCATCACCAAATCTAGCAGTTCCGACTGACCCTGTAATGGTCCTCCCATGTCGGGTCAGTGACGGTCAGTGTCCTCCATGGTCCGAGGAAGGACATAGTCGTCTCCATGGTCCGAGGCTGTCAGGCCCCAACAGGCAGTGATGGTAGAGACGTCTTGGATCCACTGAGTTTCAACCAGTTGCAACACAACACATATGAAATCTATATGATCAAAAGGACACCCGGCACCTTCTCCAAGCTGCTGCGGAAGTGGCCCAGGCCCCTGGGCAAATGCAAGACTGAGGGCGTCGATCCAGGAATCCGATCAAACTGGATCGCTCTGAACATGAAATTGGAGCAGTGCAGTAGGTGCATGAACATTCATGAACTTGCCTTGATGAGTTCATTGTTCATGCTTGGAGATAAAAGTTTCACGAACCTTCCATCATGATCAAAGCAAGACGTTCCGAAGGCTGCGGAGAGGTCGTGAACTGGATGTCCGACGCCATCAAGGTCCGCAGGTTGGAAAGCCGACCGACGTGGAAATTGGAAGTTGGATGTGTCTCCAAATGAAATGGTTTCTAACAGCTTCTTGTTACTAGTAGCGATGCCCTTTGCCCCTAGTAGCGTCCTTGCTCGTAGTAGCGATGCCAGGAGCCCCTAGTAGCGATGCCCTTGCTCCTAGTAGGGATGGTTGGATGTCGGAAGCAATCAAGATTTGGCCGAGAGTCAAACGACGCTGGATTGCACTGTTTTTTTGCAGGCAATTAGAATGAAGATGAGGTATATCTACATCTAGCATCATCTAGCAAAAGCATCCATAGTTTCACGCTATGGAAAGAGCTATCGAAATATGTCAAGCTGCCAGTCCTTGTCCTTAACAGCTATACCTCCGACCCGACGGGAGACCGGGATCTCAGTCGTTGTTCCGACACGAGTTCATGAGATGGAGCGAAAAATGAACGTCTTCGTTGGACAATTATGTACTTTTTGAGTATTGGCAGTATTGGACAATTCTTCTTTGGACAATCTTTGGCTCAATGAGTATTCTTCCTTGGAAAAATGAACGTCTTCTCTGGTGACGCAATAATCATTGAGCCTGCGATAGCCTGCGCATCTGCAAGGCGCCCATCTCCTTTTTCTCCACCAACAACTATGCAATTCTTTGAGGTGACTCTTTTACAATATTTTATCCAAAAACCATTGGAATGAACCGGGTAATAAACAATCTAAGGGAAATGTTCAATAGTTCATCTAAAAGATCAAAATAATCACCCCCGCAGTTCCCAAACTTGTTTGTTGTTTAACACTTACTTCTGAATACGACTTATATTATGTGTAGCTGGCTTTGGTTCGAGTGAAACTCATGCATCCTACCTTGCTGGCCAAGTCGCTGGCCCGCTCGCACGTCTTCATCCCGCCCTGGCACGCGAAGCGGGCGCGTGCTTTTCGCTCGAACTGATGGGATGCCACCCCGGAACCGCACAAAGGTTTCCGCCTGGTAGTTCGTGGAAACAGCGAAGGAAACCGTTCAAGCCACATGCAAACAGCGCGGTGGTGTTCGCGTTGTTTGTGGAGTTCAGGACACCGGTGTGGCTTTTTACAAGTGATTGTTTTTTCCATGCAATCATACTGGACATGCCATCTGTTTGTAGTGCTTCAAAGTGTATGAATGGAGTTCATTGGCTGCAAATTTAAGATTCCCTGCGTGACCAGGAAGTGTCATAGTGGCTCCCGGCCCCCAACCCCTGCAATAAGAACATGGGTAGAACCTATAGACATCTATCGATATATATATATATATGTAGGCAGTAGTCATCATCATATAATATGTCATCATCAACATCATGCATCATCTGCATGTGTCATCCTGTTTCATCGTCTCATTCTACATCCCCGAGCCGATCCCCACACTTCAGCCACCGCCCGAAATCATTCGCTGGCTCCCCACACTTCAACAGCCATTCGATCTCCTTTTTCAGCCTCTCAGCCTGACCGTGCCCCGTGTGAGGTCGTTCCGCCGGATGCTGCAGTCACTGGGACTCTGTGAGTGCCTCTGTTCATGATTTGTCATGGCTCAAATGAGCACCAGATCCAAATCGATGGTGCTGACAAGATGCTACAGAACTGTAGAGCAACGATGGCAATGTACTGTATCTCCAGTGGATCTGATATCAAATGGTTTCTTTGGGGAGTGCCGCGGTCTTGATTGAGTCTTTGTACTCACTTGTTTAACATAAGGATTGAAGGGGCAGCACGTAATGCTCGAAGGACAAGAAGAGAAGGTTTGAGGCTTCGTACCCAAGCGGAGCCCGTCGGAGGCCGATCAACATCATGGTTCTGAAAGAGGTAAAGGGATCCACCAGGAGGGTCTTGAAGGAAGGAAGCTGGAACCCAAGATAGATAGATAGATAGATAGATAGATAGATAGATAGAGATAACGATAACGATACCGATAAAGATAAATATAAAGATAACGATAAAGATAAAGACAAGACAACGTAAAGATATATAGCGGCCATGTGACAAATGCGGCACTTAGTGCTGGTCCAGTGAGCGCCACCTCTGAAACACATATGGGTTTGCATTTTTTTAAGGTTCCCGGGCCGGGATGTTTGACTATGGGGTATTATGCTTCGGGGAATGCTTCGCCTAAGTCGAACATCCCAGCCCTACATAACCTGGACACCTTAAAAAAAACAAGCCCATATGAACAATTGCATTTTTGTGACAATCTTTGATGTGTGACTTGCCTTTTTCATCCAAGTATGCCCACGCCATCCCACGCCCATCTGCGCAGAAACCTCTGCTGATGGGGCCCCGGGCAGGGACCGGTGGCATGGGCAGTGCCGTGCTGTGGTGCTTGAATTTCTTTGACTCAAGCTAGTGGTGGAGTTCTATCAGCGGTGGTGATTGATGTTCGGGTACCGCTACTAATGTTCTATCAGTGCTGATAGGAGGTGCTTGATGTTCTATCATGATCAAGTAACATCACCTACTATATCCTACTATAATCATCTGATCATGATACTATAGTAGGATAACTATATTACATAACTATATTATACTATATTCATGATATCCTACTATAATCTTCTACTATATAACTCACTTGGATCATCCAATGGTCCGTCACTCAGCCGATCTCAGTCGGGGGTTCGGCTGTTCGGCATAGTGAAAACGTTCGGCTGGTGAGCTGCACAGATTGTGTCCAAGGATGACTGAGCATCTGACGTTTGATTGAGCATCTGACCCCGGGCTTTTAAGGATCTCAAAGGTGAAAGTTGTGAACGGGTCCAAATCTTTTTCGATGGTTTGAACACCGCTCCAGAAAGAAGGTTCCAAGGTTGATTGGGGCAGTATGGACTTTTGTTTTTACAAGGTCTGTACTTTGGGAGTGGTGCTTTGGGTCCTGCTCACCTTTTTATATGTGTTGCCCTGCTTTTCATCTGAGACTTGCTTCGACAGCGATCACATCAGCTTGATTGCCAGCGGCTACATAGAACCAGAAAAAAATCTGTCCAACAGCATCTGGGAGTTTCATGCTTCGAAGATGTTCGCAGTATTCTGATGGCCTGCGACAAGACCATTCATGCAATCGGACCACTGCCTGGTTATTTGGTTGTCAAATACTTTTTGTTCCACCTTTCCAACTCTTTGGGCTCCCGCTCTTCAGGAGCCCTGTGAAAAGGAGTTTGTTGACCGAGGATGCAGTCAGAGAGTTCATCAATCCTTGAAATAAATCCCAATCACTGCTAAAGGACAAACGAGCTAAACATGGCTAAACATCTGGATTTCATCGACTGACTGGGTCACCTTTGGACTGCCTGGTTCGTCATCCAACTCTCCACCGCGCCGACGTCCGCGCGGACCGCGGTGAAGAGGAAGCACGTCGCCGCTCCTCGACCTGGAAAAGGGCCAATCTGAGCCCATCTGAGGGCGACAGAGTCGACTGGACTATGCATTTTCAGTTCAAACAATTATAGTAAACCCTTCCAGACTTCCAGGTGAAGGATTTTGAGCTTTCGACAAGCTAAATTCCTTCACCCTGGGATCTTACGGGACACATCAACGGACCACACCTTCCCCACGGCGGAAAAAAGACGGACTGCGCCTGTCGCAGGACTTCTTGGGCGTTCGCCACGTGTTTACGCCGCGTCTCTTCCGCCACCTGGGGCGTGCAACTTTGGACCATCCCCAAATCCACCGGAGGTGTTTTCGATGGTGGTGACCCCTGGTCGTTTTCGATGGATCACATTTTTCCTGTTTGTGTTTCCCGTGTAGTTGGATCCATGGGGCAAAAAAGGAAATTGACTCACACATAATGGCTATATAAGTCACCCTGGGATGTCATCCATCATGCATCTCTCTCTCTCTCTCTCTATAAATGCAATTATATTCTATATATGCATCCGCAACATGCATCCCAGCAGCCAAGCGCTGTTCCAGGTGAAAGGTCTTCGCCTGGGCCAGGTCGCGTCACCGCGTTCGAACGCGTCGCGTCAAAACGAGTCTGCTCACGTCGATGGAGGGAGGCGAGTCATGCTGCTGAGATCGGTTTTGGTGTTATTTTGGTGGTTTGCCTTTGTGAATTTGTGAATGGGCTGTTGGCTTGCTTTAGATTGGGAGGGATGGGGGACAAACTTGAGAAAACATGACACACATCAACATGGAGTTCAAACGGAGTTTGGAATTCTTTGTTCAAGGCCCGTCAAGATCCTTCAAGCATGTCCCAAGACTTTACGCTTGGAGGACAGGGACAGCCTAGTGCTAGGCCGTCCCAGCTCCAAGTAGCCCGCCCACAACCTGAGACGTCGCCTCGCCACAGCCCTCGATCGGATCGACGGTTTTGAGTCGATGTTCTGCCGCTTGTTTTGAACTCGAAGGAACTGACAGATATCTTTGTCTGTGTCCGAGTCCTCAGACTCTGGGGCATTGGGTAGAGTTGAATGTCAAAAAGAGCTGACCCCACAAACAAACCCAGTGTCATCAAAACAGCAAAGTGCAATACTGACATGGTAGTTCAAAGAGAGCCAGAAAGCCCAGCAGTTCCGGCTACCTTCAAACTGTAGCACAATGTTACTACCTTCAAACCGAGTCACCGGGGCAACAGTAGGGTCACAACATTTGGCGGAGTTCCAGGTTTAGTCTTCCTTGGAGTCTGGAGAAAACAGCGGTCCCGATGTATTTGGCACCTAAAGATACCCGTGTGTACTCCAGGGGGACCTGGACTCCTAGAAAAAATAGAAATTTCCTAGGAAAATTTAATTCGCGAGATTTATTAAGTCCTGTTGGCCAGGTCCATGCTTCAAAATTTAGGTTCTATAAAATCCTATCGCTGGGACATTAAACTCCCTGGGGAAACACTCGTAGATCTTGGCGGAT